CTCTCTCTCTCTCTCTTTCTCTCTTTCGACAAATTGCACGTCGCCTGTTCATAGACGGTTTGTGAATCGATTAACAGAGAAGCGGCGCGTATTAATTTCTTCAGCTCGCGATCAACGCGAGGCTCTCACTATCGAGCATGAGTTTGAAACCACCCCACGGATCGTTCACAACTACATTTCCTCTTTCTCTCTTTTTTTTTTTTCCTCAACACGTTGACTGTCACGGTGTTTTAACACGCTTCATCAGAATGATGAAACAAAACGAGCATCAAGGACGTTGTAAGTAAGAATCGAACGTTCTGCGTCCAGACAAAGTGCACGGCACAGCCAACGTGTTAACTGAAGAAAGAAAGGTGGGAACGTTGATCTCGGAAATGAAATTAGAACACGCTGAAAAGAAAGAATCAGCTCACATTTAGAATGTTTCTTCTTACACAGACGCTCTCGACTGACGAACCGAGATGGTGCTACAAACAGAAAAGATTTATCAAAGCGCACTCCGCGCGTGTGTACGTGTCCACATGCAAACCAAAGAGTAACGCCTACGCGTAGATGCAACTAAACGCAGTTGCGTTCTCTTTAAAAGGGAACGAAAGAGAGGGGAAAAAAAGAAAGAAAGAAAGAAAGAAAGAAAAAAAGAAAAACGAGAAGGAGGCGGTCTCAAACTTGTCTGCCTGTAACGTGTCAATTGTTCACTATCGACGGTGTGTGCCTACGTTGATCGCGCGTACACACTCCCACGAGGTGGACGACGTTGACGGTGACGTTGACGATTGTTTCTCGTTAGAAAGACATTGTCAGCTTTTAGACTCGGCTCGGTTCTTTTTTTTTTTTCTCCCCGGTGTGTGGTCGAAATGTGGACGAAGCCCACTTTGCGCCGCGAAAATTCGGCCGTAAAAATGGCGCGTTCGGTCTCTTCTCTCTCTCTCTCTCTCCACCCGGTTTTCTATAGATATTGTATATATCGTTTCGAAGGGGGGAGAAGAGTTAGGGGTTACGGTGGGAGAGAGAGTTTCTCGATACGCGGCGTAGAGAGATTTTTCGAAGGATGGCTCTTACCTGGAGGAACTGCCGATACTGCTTATACTGGCACCGTCAGCTGTTCTCCTTTGCTCCCTGGAGACGTCGCAGTCCGTGATATCGCATTCGGAAGTGTCAGAGTCGCTCACCCGCGACGTCGTCGACGGTGGACTGAGATGGCAGTCCACCGGAGTTATCACTGCGTCATCGGGCTCCTGATAGCATCTGTGCAACGCGAAATTTAGATCTCACGCTACGCTCTTCTCGCTAGCGCTAGGTGAAAAAGAATCAGCCGAACGGATTCGCTGAACGTTCACGCGCCGCGACGTCACTCACGGTAAAATTTCGTTCTCCCTTTCTTTCCCTCCCCTTGGAGCCCCTACGTTACTCAACTTCTTTCTCTACTCGTCTCTACATGTATATATATATATATATTTTTTTTCTCTCTCTCTTGATTTCAACGTTACGGGAATGAAACCGTTTGAGGTTTAGGTTCAACTACCGTACGCGGGCGATCGTATACAGCGCGACAGAATAAAAGGGTTAACGTGACCGTCGACGGATTCCTTCTCCCTCAGCCTAAATACGTCGGGGACCAAAGGAGAAAAAAAAGAAAAAAACAGGTAGCTGGCACGCCTACAGAGGCCTAGCCCTTTCTCAGAAGCTTAATCTATCTAGAAGAAGAACTCGGGTTCTCTTACTTTCTCTCGGCTTTTGCATACAGCGGCTAAGAAGCGCAAAGAGTATTCGTCAGTCACTAATCTCTAAGGTAAAGGTCTCTCCTAATCTCTCATTGCAACAAGCGAACGAACGAATGCGATTGTAGCGATTGCGTCTCATCTCAGAGGCATGAAGAAAGTGAAACATCCTAAGGTGGTCTACCGAGCTGATTCCACATACCCAATGTATCGGTGTTCACAGTGGTCGGCCAGCGGGTGCCATTCCGGCTCCTCGTCGAGGCGAGCGGTCGCCAGTTCCAGCACCGTTTCGCCGAGGAAATCGTTCGTGTCGTACTTGTTGTAGTCCCACACGGTGATCTGCAACGCTCTTTTCCTCAGCTCGGAACACCTGATCCCGTCGAAGATAATCGTTTGATTCCACTTCGGGTCGTTCGTGTTCGCCAGCGTCTTCGTCCGCCTCTTCGACTTCTCGCTACGTTTGA